GGTGGCATAGCCAACAACCTGGAAGACAGAAACAGAATTCAATATGATCTGGACAGGCTGGAGCACTGGACTGAAAACAGCAGAATGAAATTCAACAGTGATAACTGCAAAGTACTGCACCTATGAAAAAGAAACCAAACACGCAGTTACAAGATGGGTAAGCAACACTACGAGAAAGAAGGATCTTGGAATTGTTGTAGATCACAAGATGAATATGAACCAACAGTGTGATGTGGGTACAAAAAAGACAAATGTTATTTTAGGCTGCATTTACAGAAGTAGAGTCTCCAAATCTCGTGAGGTACTAGTTCCCCTCTATTCGGCATTGGTTAAGCCTCATCTTGAGTACTCTGTTCAGTTCTGGATGCTACACTTCAAGAAAGATGGCAACAAATTGGAACAAGTTCAGAGAAGGGCAAGAAGGATGATGAGGGGGCTGGAAACTAAGCCCTATGAGGAAAGACTGAAAGAACTTGGCATGTTTAGACTTAAGAAATGAAGACTGAGGGGAGATATGATAGCACTTTTCAAATACAGTGGTGCCTCGCTTAACAAGCGCACCATATAACGATGAATCCGCATAGCGATCCCTTTTCCGGGATCGCTAATGCGGAGGCATAGGGTCGGCCCCAATGGGTGAAACTCGCATAGCGAAGATCGGTAAGCGTTTCACTTACTGATCTTTGCTTTGCAACGCCCAAAAATCAGCTGTTCGGCGGCTCCAAAATGGCCGCCGGACACCCGAAATGGCCGTGTGCAGCGTTTTCGCGCCTTCCCCTCGCTTACCGAGGGCGCAAAAATGGCTGCTGGACCCAGGAAACTTCGCTAAACGGTGAGTTTTCAGCCGATTTGGCTTTTTACTTTCCGCTTAGCGAAGTTTTCACATAGCGAAGGTTAATCCGGAACGGATTAACCTCGCTATGCGAGGCACCACTGTACTTGAAAGGCTGCCAAACAGAGGAAAGGCAGGGTCTGTTCATGATCATCCCTGAGTGCAGGACACACAACAATGGTCTCAAGTTATGGGAAGCCAAATTTTGGTTGAATTTTGGGAAAAACTTCTTAACTGTTAGAGCAGTAAGACAGTGTAACCAATTAGCTCGAGAGATGGTGCATGCTCCAACACTGGAGGCATTCAAGAGAAAATTAGAAAACTACCTGACAAATATCCTTTGATTTGTATTCCAGCACTGAGTAAGGGGTTGAACTCGATCGCCTTATAGGCCTCTTCCAAATTCATGATTCTATGATTCTATACTTGTGCAATACTTTTTAAAAATTATTTTAATATTTCAGTTAAGTTCTTATTATTCCATTTTAAAACCACATTGTTTGTTGAAGTACTTCCTTATACTTATTTACTTTCAACATATATTGCAAAACTGCCAATAATTACTTTGTGTTTGGGCGAGAAGTGTTCAGCTGATGAAAAAAAGGAGTCAGTTTCTGAGATTTTCCTTTGTGTGGTGTCACTTTGTGAATGGTAATTAGTGCAAGAGGGCATCCTGTAGACCAGTGGTCCCCAAACTTTTAACACAGCAGACCAGTTTAGTATGTGTGCGGGGGGGCATCTGTGCATGCATGCATGCATGCGTGGGAGGGTGGGTAGCGTGTGTGGGGATGTGTGCGTCCATGCATGCAGGGGTGTGTGCATGCATCTGCATGCGTTGTGGGCATGCATGTGTCCGTGAGTCCATGGCGAGTGTGAGGGCATCTGTGCATGCGGGGGGTGGGGCGCGGGAGAATTGTCTCTGCAGCCTGGTCCTGTGAAGGCCATGGACCGGGCCGTGGACTGCAGGTTGGGGACCTCTGCTGTAGACCATCTTGACTGCTGCCTTTGGTGTTGTAAAGATTTGGGCTGCCCTTTCCTATGTAAATTATCCTTTTTCCTGTTGGCATCACAAACACAATACTTGGAAGCAATATTGGGCCATTTCCTGGCTTTTTGTATTGTGGGTCCAGAAGCACAATATCCCAAATTCATAAACCAGATGTTTCTTGAAGAATTTGATACTTCTTTGATGAGGAGCTTAAGTCGAGTTAACATGTACCCTGCTCAACACAATTTGTAAACTACTAAATGCAATCCTATACTGTATACAAGCCTATTTTTATTTCCTATTCAAAAGTAAGTCCAATGAACTGAATGTGGCTTACTCTCATGTTTGTAACATGGATGTTAAGTCTCACTGATAATAATGGTAGCTCCTCTTAAATATGTATGTTTTGCTTAAAACTATACAAGCAGAGCAAAAGTAAAGAAATGTGTAGTCATAACGAATAGCAAGTTTATGGCTCAGCAGCAGATTTCCAAAAAGCATAGCTGACTCAAAACATTTTGCTGCCTGAAGTGAAGAACAAATTAGTATCTCTACTCCTATGCCACACCCAGAAGGTATCTGGATTGACAGTTGAATTTTACTGCAACACTAGTGATGGGACAGTATTCTTTATTGCACCTGCAATTGTAAGCCATAGATACTTACAATGAAATGAAATTCTTAGTCTCACAATATTCTTGTTCTCTATTTTTTGTTTTGTTTCAGATTTATTTGTTTATAGGCTTCATGCATCTGAAGAGGCAGGATGCAGTCTGCGAAAGCTTATGCCAAATGAAATTTGTACATTTTTAAGATGCCACAACATGGGGTGGTATATAAGCAGCACGCTTTGCTTTTTTGCTTTTTACTTTTCATATTCTAAATTGCCCAGAGGCATTAGCTGGCTCTCCTGAGCTACAAAGTAACACCAATAGCCTTATGTGAAATCCTTTTATATTTTTGAGACAAACCATGGTGACTGCAGCATCCTATAAACATTGTGCTTTAGCTTTGATGGGCGAGCAACAAAATGTGATCTTATCTTTCAATCCTATCTAGCTGTTGGGGTTGTTATATTCTTCCTCCTCCCCTAGGTGACTTTTTTCTTAGATTCATTAGACAAGATCTCCATTTTAAATTCATCTGGTTTATTCATCAATGAAGAAAATGGGTTTAATTCAACTTTAACCTAACCTCTGGGAGCTCTTTTCCAGTTGGTGTTCAGGTACTTAAACAATTCCAACATCCCCCGGCCATGGGGTGAACAAACCCTTGGTTGGGTGACAACATGCTTGAGGTAAATGAGTTGACTAGTCCTGCTTCATATTCCTTCTTGTTCAGAAGTACAGTAAAATACCCAGCCCTCTTTCACTGCCCAGACATTCTGATCTGGATCCTAATGGGCCTTGGGTGGGAAGGCCCTTGTCCCAGAACTGCTCTCACAGTAAGGGGGGCATGTTCTGTTCTGTTTCTAGTCCTGCATTCCCGCCACTCTCTTTTGGCTGTCTCTCCCCAACAGGGGAGGCTTCTGTACCAGGCGGCTCCTCCACTCCAGTTCAGTCACTTCTCTAGGTGCTTTGAGATGCACCCAATCCCTGGTCCAAAAGCCTTCCTTCACTACTTCCACCCAATCCTTCTCTGTTCTCAACTTCTCTCTATCCACTTCTTCTCCCCAGTAATCTTCTGCTCTTGCTTCATTGGCTATACCTCCTTTATACACTTCCTTTCCTGCCAGAAGCTCTCCTTCCAACTGTCCTTCTTTTCCCAGGCTTTCCTCCCCCACCCCCCGTGGTTAACCCTTCTATGTCCTTACCAGTGTCTTCCTGTCCTATGAGTTCTTTCACATCCAGGTGTAGGCAGGGAGGGCACACTAGGGATGGACTCTCTTGGTCCTCCTTATTTGGTAAGGCTGAAATTTGAGAAGGCAGGGGATTGCCAATTACACTTCTTTCAACAGTGCTGGGGTTAGGGATGCTTTATAGTTCAAAATCCATGTACTGTACTGTATAACTTTTATGCCCCCCAAAAGATAACTACATTTGATAAATACACACAGAGAGAGAACAGATAAGTTTACTGTATTAAGTGCGCACGACACCAAATACAGTATATACAATTCATATTTACAAAGGTCTTCATCCTCGTTATCATCACATTATGTTGGAGGGAACTTTACGGAAACACATAATTTCAGCCTGATGGTTTAGCTTTTTCATGTCTCTAAAAATGTTTCTATATGGTACAAACCCTTCTTCCACTGTTTCAGTTTCAGTGCCTATATCATAGAAGAGTCCATGTCGTCCAGTCTTGAATAATTGGAACCTTTCTGCAAGACTATCTAACGTCAATTTGTTTTCTCACAGAACTTCTGTTTTTTCCCTTGTCCTCTGGCACTGATTTAGACGTGCTCATCTCCATCAAGTCATCTTGTGCTTCTTCAGAGCATTTCTGGCATCACCAGCTGCACTTCATTTGGGTCCTTTGGCATTTTCACATTTTTGGCACTGAGCCTCTTTAAAGGCAGCTAAATGGCAGAAAAAAGCCTCTATCAGAGGGGGGAACCGAGATGTGATCTCTCCTCCACCCGCAACATAGTGCAGTGGTGTGAACTCCCCTCCGACCTACATTAACCTCCTGGCATGCTCCAGGACCCTTCTAAGGCATGCCAGGAGAGTGGGGTGGGGGGCAGACAGTCACCACTAGACTGCAGACTACCCCACCAACAACTGGGGTGGGTAAGTAGAGAATTACCTTTTCCAGGCCATTTCCTGGAGATGAATAGCAGCACACTATTAACTGAACGTTTATTTAAATATTTATTTAATTATTTAATTTTAATAACCACATATAACCAAAACTGTGCTGCTTGATCCCTGCAATTCAAAGAAGTGTAGGTTGCTAATCTTAGAAATTTGTTCAGCAATAGTCCGCTATAATTCTCCTGCCAAATATGTCCTTTTCTTTTTCCCGTTATTTCCGAAGGCTCAATGAGAGCTATTTTTTTTCATTCTGTGTGATAAATCATATCATCTGAAGTTGGGACTAAAATGTCGGTTTAAATTTTGCCGGCTGGATAGCATTTTTTAAAAAAAAAAAAATGAAAGAACCAACCGGGAGCTGTCAAAACTTGTTCTCTTGCAAGTTGTTTATTTGCCAACGAAATGGAATAGTAGCCGGCAGCCTTCTTGCGCAAAGTTTTAACGCCTCACTAGCTGCTTTTGGGGGGTGGGGGTGGGGGGGTGTCTACAATGGCAACCGGAAATGTAGATGTGCTTGCTCTCCTCTTTGGGCGACTCTGCTGCCCGCCTGCAGCTGCGTGAAGGGGTTGGAGCCTCGCCTCGTTGTTAACAGCAACGAGGAGAGCTTGTCTCTGGTGGCTCCATGTCGCTGCCGGAGCCGGTGAGGAGGCGCCTGAGCAGCTTCAGCCGGACCGTCTTCACGGACACCAGCCGCACTGGACCAGAGTATCAACGTGACAACATTCCCGGTGAGGGGTGGGGCGGTGCGAAGCATTTTGTCCGCTGCAAAGATGGCGGCGGGACTATCATCCTGCGAACAGATTT